AGAAACTTTGAAAAAAATGGAAGAGATTAAACATACCCGAATAAATATACTCTTGTCTTGCACAGCTTCTTCTATAGATTTTTTTACATTTTGAAGGGAAAACAAAAGTATCGATTAAGAATTATTTCCTGCAGTTACTATCCATTTTATATTGTAACAGCTTTTTTTTTTTGTTACATACAGTGTCATTTGACTATGATTGTCAATAAATAGAAACAAATACACATAATACATCAAGCAAAAAGCGCAATGAACTAACAAAATCTGTGCAAAATATGAAACTCAAAAGCTTGCGAATGTGCATAAGCTTTAAAACACAGAATGGTTTGAAATAAATTTGTGAAACTCTTACTTGTGTCTGCCAACAGGCGAGGCTTGCAGTGTTAAACTGGTCTATCTGTGCAAAGTTCAAATGTTCAGTGTTAATGTGACACACAAAGTGGTGAATGAGATTTTATTTAACTGGGTGCAACAGGTAATAATGGCTAACCATAACATTTAATCTTACTTATTTTTAGAACTGAGTGAGACATCAACAACTATCAAGTCTTAAACAAGCTACAAAATCATCAACGCAAACAACTTGTAGCCTAGATGACTTATATTGAAAAAGATCTCAAACATTCAGTTTTAAAGAGGAGGCGAGCTGCCAAAAGCAACAAAGGCAGGTGTAATTGCTGACTATGACTCCAGGCTATGACTCACTTCATAGACTTTATCACAAAGCCACAGCTTCCTCTTTCCTCTGTTACTTTCTATAGTTCAAATTACCTGGAAACAAAACATTCTGCCTCTGGGAATACTAATGTTATATTTGGAGCTGACTGAGAATATGGTACCTTAACGATTTCTCATATTTCGCAAGCTTCAAAGAGTGCTGCCTTGCCCTGACCAAATAGAAAATTTGCTTAAAAATGAATATAGTAGTGAGTATGTGTGTGTGATTGTGCATAGATATGACTATGTATTTAAGCAATTGATGGTATATGGGAAACGGTATGAAAAAGGTCACATGCCAATTACTAATTACTAATTACCCAGACAGCAACATAGTGTCGGCCCAGATCCGGCCCACATCTTGTACACGTGGATCCACACAGCCCGTATGTGGGCCGGATCTGGGCCGACACTATGTATGTTGCTGTCTGGGTAACCATATTTAGTTGTTCAAAAAGGTAAAAACATGATTGCCCTGTTATGCTATTTGAACTTATTTCTTTACTTCAGCTCAGTGAACAGTATTGGATTTTGAATTCAAGTTTATAAGGTTTAAAATTAAAGTAATCCATTGTCTTGACCAGTGTTGGGGGAAGTTACTTTTACAAGTAGTGCGTTACAATATTGCATTAAAAGTAACTAATTGCATTACTTTTTATGGAAAGTAATGTGTCATGTTATATTCGCGTTACTTTTTCATGTTTGTCTTTTAATAACAACAAAAAAAGTAATATTTTTTGGCAAATGTAACACAAAAGGTGAAATGAATAAGCATTAAGGCCTGTTCACACCGGGACGAATTTCGCGCGCGATATTCGCCGACGTTTAACGCCTCGTGACTAAACAAAGGGCGCCAATGTGAGTGTGCACACCGACGCGAAAAACGCCACGGGTAAAAGCGGCATTTTTTTAAAAACGCCTTGGGTTCGTTTTTTTAGTTTGACGTGCCGCATCAAAAACTATCCGACCAATGAGATTGGCGCTTTTGCTCGCGTGTCTGGAGCTTCTGAAGTTACAGTAAAACACAACTTGGGGGCGCTCAAACACAAAACGGTCTTGCCGAGCACACATACGTAACGGCGAAGAAGAGATATACGCCAAGTAGCGTCTACACTGCCGAGGAGAAATAAGAAGAGGAAGATGCAAGGCAAGATGAATGTAGAGCCGCTGGTCTCGTTGGTGTCGGAACATAAAGAACTTTATGACAAACGCCACAGCGACTACAAAAATCTTGATAAAAGAGAATGTTATGGAGTGGTATTGCAGAGTAAATGGGCGCCATCTAATGTCAGGGAATGAATTTGCATGTTCACTCGGCTCATCGTCACGAAAATCGCTTGGGTGTGAACACAAAAAACGCATTGAAAAACGCTGACGAATAACGCGCGCCGATATTCGTCCCGGTGTGTACGAGCCCTTAGGCTAAAGAAAATGCAAATTCATGCGTGTACAGTAGAGGGCGCAAATAAAACAAACACAAAAATAATGTTAATCTAAAGTAATTTTTGCTTATTAGTATGGGTGAATTGGATCATTGAAGATCAGCAGCAAAGACATTGGTTAATAAAGTGAGATTAAACACATAAAGTATATTTGTGTAATTTAACATTTAATTATTGCAGGTTTGTATAATATTCTGAGTTTGCTTTTTTTTTCTCACTCAGCGTGAATCTCCAGCGTCTCGACTAAAGGAATTTCTATACTAAAAGAGTATTTTACCACGAGTTGCAAACGCGAGATTACGCCTGAACTGAATATGATGAAATAGACCACATTCAACTTAATATTAATGATTAGAAAACGCGTATTTGTATTGAGTTGTCCTCGAGAACGACATCCAAAAACAAAGATTCAAACATAAGATTCTCATGAGATCAGAATCACTCGCAAATATTCACGAACTTACGAGTTACAGGTACCTTGACGAATCTTTACCTTCGCAGAATCCCAAATGTTTCTAAAACCAAATTGAACTGCAAGTATTATCTTTAGAAATGTAGCAAGTTTTGTGCACTTCGGAAACTCAAATTAGCGTAACTGATTGTTCATACGACTGCATGTTATCATAGATTGCAACTTATACTGGGTTACCATATTCACACACCATATTATATTCAAAGAATCCTTAACGATATGTCTAATTTGCAATGGTATTTGTAGGGCATATGTCCACAAACCCATGGTAGCTCCAACGCATTCTCATCCCAAAGCGTAATATATTGACTCTTTTGCCAAAGCGTCTATATCCAACGCATATGGCACCCTTTAGCGTCAATATAACACGCTTCGGTTTTGGGTAGGTTTAGGTCTGGGGTAGTGTTAGGGTTAGACCACTAGGAGGCGCCATATATCTGCGTCTCATATGACGCTAAAGGGTGCCATGTGCGTGGGATATAGACGCTTTGGCAAAAGAGTCAGTATATTACGCCTTGGGATGAGAACGGGCTCGGTATATAGAGCCACTACTGAATGAATCACTCGAAATGATGATCTCACCGTTATCACATGGCTGAGCTGAGGCTGCTCAAATATCATGTTTGTTGCTATATGCGGCAGCCAGAGTGAACGGAGAAGATAAGAACAGCATAAAATAAGCTAAATTCATTGATTAACTCACCTAGCTCTTCTCACAGACAGAAATGTCTTCTGTGTTATGGCTTAACCATTCAACAGAAAGAAATCGTGGCTTATTTGAATACAAGAATGAAGAAAGTTTCCTTGTTACCCATATATTTTTGCACATGAGTTCCCCTCAGGACTTGAAAAAAGGTCATATTGTAATTTAAAGAAGCTGATTTGTAGATCTGGAGCTTGACGGCCACTGGCCTCATTCGATTTCATTTACAAATGGACATTGCAATGTAAAGATGACTAATGCTGTTATTTCATGTTTACATATTATGCAAACATTTCATTTTTTCAACTTCCCACATTTTTATGGCACAAAAAATGGACGATTTAGCATTTAGTGTTGGTGCAGACTTGTAAATGATTGAATTTTGTGTGCTTGCAAAAAAAAAGTTAAACTTAGAAACTTCTACACACCCTTAAGCAGCTGTTTTCCACTTTTACAAAAAAGTGAATAGTAACTAGGGCTGACAAGCTAAAAAAAAAAAAAAAGCACCATAAAACTAATGGTACTGATGCTGGGCCGAAATGTAGATTAATATTAATATTCACAGGCGCAAAGACAAAGTTATTATGAGTTACCTGTGTCATTGTAAGCCCCTTCATCGCAGTGTCAATTCATTTCAAGTCTATTCCATATGCAGTTGATATCTGACATCCATCATCAGATTCTTGGAATCCAATATTTTAGTTTAGGGAATGATTTTTATAAACAATATTTGTTATACCGGTTGCATCCTGATAGCAATCAATAATAGAAGTGGTCTAAATATTTAAAAAATGTACATATATCTTCTCAGGTGTAAAAAATGTTTGTCCAATCATTGCATTCGGTCCGAATGCAATGATAGGATGTTCTACTGCCTGCCCGATAAATTTGCATAGGCTACTTGTTCGCGCAGACATCACACGTCGTCAGTGTGTTTTATGCTATTGTAGACAGACGGCAGTCACTGAGTGCCACAAACAAACAGCAGAAACCTTTTACAGTTCCTCCTGAGCCAAAACAATGAGCTTATGCCCATGACTTTCTTCCCCGGAGCTGTTCACGTCCTTGGTCTGGGATTTATGCGTTTCAATGCTAACACTATATGAAATTGAATCTGCAACAGTCATGTGGCACAAGTCAGAGCGCTCTAAGTTGTTTACGTTCATTATTATTGTGATGTTATGTGCTTTGAGACATGAAGTAATTTAACGGCGTCTCTCGTGACGCTTTGCAGACTCTACTCTGGCTATGTGTTCATGTGTTATGAAGGAGGCATGGCTTAGGAGACGCTCTGAAGGATCTTATGCTTTCAAAGCTTTATACCCTTCCTTTAATTGTGTTAATGAAATACCTTTAAAACATTCATATGAAAAAACTAAATCATGATAATTTTTTTCTGGCCCCTCTGGATATTAATGGACATTTCAGTCTAGCACCAGTTAGTTTGAATGGCGCTTTTTTGAGCTGGTCAGCCCCAGTTCTTAATCAATTTTATGTAAAAGTGGGAAAACGGCAGCCAAAGGGTGTGTAGATGTTTCTAAGGATAATTTCTAAAAATTATTGTTTTGTTGATAAGAGCATTAAACACAAACCCTTATATTTTTAATCAGCTTTATTGACATTTTTTATATTCTATTCATTTCATCATTTACAGATCTGCACAAACACTAAAACATATTTTCCTAATATCAAACCTCCAGTGTCACATATCAATGGCTCAATATAACAACTTTCCAACTACAGTGAAAATCTAATATTAAACAGATATTTTCAGAAAGATATAGAGTGTGAGATAAAAAGAAAAGAAAATGCCATTTCTTTAATAATTACAACAATCTGTAATAAAAATTGTGACACTAAACATGCTGTAAGAATCCCAAATCGGCATTTTCCTTAAGGGAATCCATTGTTCAGAATTCTCCACTTCCTGGATTAAAGCTGTACACCAACAACATCTTAAACACACTCCGCTACAATGCAATGCCAAAGGGCTGATCTCAGGTCAGTGTGTGTGTGGGAGGAAGATCAAAAACTCTGATTACAACCGCAGAACAGCAAGTCTTTGTGTTTTGGACTGACATGACTATGATCCGATTAGGACAGAGCGCTTTAGAGAATGTGTGAAAGTGATAATAGAGGTGAGGAAGATGATGGTGTTCTTCAGGTTGGCCTGTTGTTGAACAGAGTGATAGGTGATAGTCTTGCCTTCATCTCGCGTCTGATCTGGCACCATGAGCACGGTCCGCAGAAGAAAGAGTACACACAGTCATTACAGATAGAGTCCTGCGTGAAGAAAACAGGGGTTAAACATAATGAACCACAATATAAGATCCATTCAGTGTTCTGTTTTCTTCTGTTGCATTACAATATATCTAAAGTGATGGTGTTCAATAGTTTATAGACCTTATGCAGAGCGGCGCCACGACAGGTATGAAAGCGAGGCTGTGAGGGAAAGACTTAAAAGTGTTTTCAATGGCATCCGATGTAAAAAGACGTTTAAAGCTCCTAGAACACTTATATTTTCAACCAGAGCTCATGTTGTTTAGAGTTTGTCTACTGAAATTTCTTGGAAAGATATTTTTGCAGTGTTTGTTTCATAAGGAGAACAACCCAAAAGCACGTTAAATAACGCTGAAGACATGAAGGAATGCATGTCTATCCCTTACAGCCTCGCTTTCATTCCCATTAAAAAAATCAAAGATGGCGCTGCATTGAATAAACTCTACAGGCTCAATAGACCTTATTCAGAGCATCGCCACAACAGGTACGAAAGCGAGGCTGTGAGGGACTTACCATGTTTTCAATGGCATCCATCCACTGTGGAAAGCTGTATAAAGCTCCTAGATCACTTAGCTATAATTTTCCACAGCGCATATTGTCTGGGGTGTCTACTGAAATTCCACGTAAAGATATTTGAAAATGAACCATGGTTTTGCAACAAAAAAACAAAACATGGTTATTGTAGCATGGTAACCAAAAATTAACCACACTTACAACTCACACTTAAAATTTGCTACACGTACATAGTTTAACCTTAGTATTAGTAGGCCTAGTACAACTGTGGTTATACAACTGGTAATCAATCAAAAAAACATGGTTACTACACTTTTACTATAATAAAACCATGGTTAATTTTTGCAGTGTTTCGTCAGCACAGCAGAACAATCCAAAAACACATTAAAAAACAATACAACCCACTGAAGAGATGCATGTCCCTCACAAATTCATTCCCGTAAAAATCCAAGATGGCGCTGCTGAAGCGTATGCCATATTGAATTTGATGCAGATGAAAAATAGTCTGTGAAACAGTCATGGCACGCACTCTAAAACTCACACCTTTCAAAACTGTGTTTTTGTAACCATTGAACGTAGTTCGTTCCCTCACAGCCTCATTTTCATTCCTGTCAAAAATCAAACATGGCGCAACCCTGATTACGGTCTATTGATTCAACTCGTCATAACACAAAAGGATGCAGTTTCTTTCTAATCTATGCTTTGGTAATCAAAGTTTTCTTGTGTCTTTACCGTGATGCCGTATCGTCGTCGTGTGGACACCCTCATGGAGAGAGTAACAGGAGGAATACACCCGCAGCTGTCCAGTAGAGGGAGACACAGACACTCTCCATGATCTCTGGCTGTGATGCAGGCGAAGCAAGGGAAACACCACACAGAGAAGCAACCTGCAGAAGACCGACCGATTCAAGTCATTATTCTGCCTAAACAATTCGACTGTGCACCTGTTAAAAACATCAGAGAGTTCACTTATTTCTTAAAAACCTTAATTCACTATGTTTTATACACACACACTCACATTCATTGACGTTGTCGCATTCACATATGCTGGTGGTCCACTGGTCTGATGCTGCAGACACCACTAGTGGCTTGGGTTGTTGAATCACCATCTTGCTTGCCATGATGAATGAGTCTCAGATCCAACAACTCTGCAATCCCAGGGGAAAAAAACAATCTAAAGCAGAATTTTTGCAATTAATAAACAGGTGACTTCAAAAGTCAGACACTAAAATGTATTACATTGTTGCGTCCATAAAGGAAATTCTAAATTCCAAATTCTAAAAACAACAACACTTGGCTCACCAGTTGCTCCAGCAGCAGATTTGGTCTTACCTGGGACAGAGGAAAGTTCAGCAGAAGACTGACACTTTGAGAGGGCGATGCTGTCATTTATTTAGGGGGAGGGAGGATGTCGGGAATGTCTACGTAGATTCTCACTCTATACACACATAAAGGATGCTTATCAAAGAACAACTTTCTAGTTGTGCTTTCATCAGAACAGAGCATGGTAATAATGAGAAAAATGACAAGTATGCAAGATCAATAGATTTTGGAAAAATGGACAAGAAATACAACGTGGTTATCCCTATTGTATTACATTTTGTCCTTTGAAAATACCTAAACAGGTGCAATGAGGTGAGATAAATGTCACAATCTTTATTTGGATCCAGGGCTTTAATTGTAGTGAAACTCAGAGTACTGATTAATCATCAGGAACGTTTTATGAAATCATCTTCGTTTTTACAGTAGCCTAGATACTGATTACATAAAGATAGGCCAGACATCGACTGGCAGAGTACATCTTCTCTGTGATTTCCCAGTCTTTCGGTTAGTACTTTAAGGTTACAGTAAATAGAAGTGTACATTTGGATAAAAAGCATCTGCTAAATTGCAAATCACTAATAACAGGCTATTCAGGTGGACTGCTTTCTGTTCAGATAAAATCAAATCCAGAGCTCCTTGATGAAATTTCCCAATCTACTACTGCATTTTGGGGGCCTAAATACACAAACTTTTAAAAGCAGGTTTCCAAAAACGGTTATGTCATACACATGTGTCTATGGAGCATAGTGTTTCTTTACAAAGTGACACCGACAACTACTGGCTTGGCATGGGCGCTTTTAGTCGTTTTCGCAGATCTGTGTGAACGGGGATCATTTTGACAACGTTGTCTTCCATACGCAAAAAATGGAAAGGAAAAACATTTCCATTTTTAGCACTTCATTGTCATGTAAACGTATATCCTCAACGTAGTGAGCGCTAACAATACCCGTAGACACAAGCAAGAAATGCAAGAAACCAGCAAAGACCAGGGAAAGGAGCAATATAACAGGATCAGAGCACATGAGGAGCAGGTGAACTCAATCAACCAAACAAGGATTAAATAAGGGGGCGTGGAAACGGAAACTGGAGCACATGACCAACACAAACAAAAGGTGTGTTTGACATTGGCTGCAGCTGGGAATTATCTTTCTTTGACATGTTTGAAACCATAATGAGGAAATCATTTATTACAGTCCCTCTATAGTCAATAATTGTATCCCTTAAAACTCATCTTTGATCACCAAAATGACACATTCAATGTTTTTCCTTGAAAAAAAATGTATTCATGCCATTAAATAGCTTGAATGTAACTCCACACCCTTTCCTCATTTAGTATACGCGGTTCTATGAATATGCAAATGAGCCCCGCCTCCACTCACTCGCTCAGCTCAGAGATCCACTCGTTGACGATCACACGTTGATCTGATTGGTTAAAAGGTTTGTGACATCAGAAACACCAGCGATTTTGAGACTGTCTTTGCTTCTCTGCAGTTTTAAAGAGAAAATACTCAGCAATGCTGTCGACTTATGAATTTACACATGGTTTGTCTTAAAGCATATTAAAAACACACATAGACAACATTAAAAGCTGGATTTTCACCAAATCGTTTGTTGACAAAAAAAAAAAAGTATTGGAAAAAGAAGAAGCTGAAATGTAAGGAAGTGTCTTGCAAAGGTGGTTAGCAAGGAAAAACTCCCAAGGATGTTATACAGATGTAAAGGAAGAAACCTGGGAACAATGATAGATAATAATATTAATGTAAAAAAATCAGGTCAACATCCCATAATGCATCCTTCACGCACCAAGCTTTGGTGTGTGAAGACTGATAAAGGCCCTATGTTTGCCTCTGTTACTGCTTTAAACTAGCCTGGGAAAACCCAGACAACTTCCGGGCAAATTTAGATTTGCTCTGAAAGTTAGTCTGGCAAAGAGCTCATTCAAGCCCATTTCCAATCCGTCTAAATCGTGGCACCAATCAGAAACGTTGGGGCGGGCTTTACACGATGACGACAGCGCTGGGATTTTGAAGCAGATTTTGTAGCCTACATTACAAAGATGGATGCCGCCGTCGAACATCACTCGTTCGAATCAGCTATCGCATCTGTTTTAAGCGATTTGAACGTTTCCTTTTTGTAAAAAACCGAGCAAAGAACAACACTCGGAGATGTTTCTCCGCCGCTCTGCATACGTCATCTCCTTCATCGCTCTGATTGGTTTTAGGTCTATCCGCGACGTCCGTTGGTGACGCCCCTCTGGAAATGATTTGTCTATGACGCTTTGCCAGACCATAACTCAGTTACAACTGAGAATGGTCTGGTTTTAACCAGGCTAGCTTTAAACATTTTAATTATGAAATTTTTTGCTTTTTTTTGCATTCTTCCTTTTCTTTCTCACAGATAGTTCGCAGTATCAGTGCACGCACGTCCTGGTTTTGCAGAGTTATTTTGTCATCACTAACCCTGGGTCAACATATTTTGTTAAGCCTGGAACAAAATTCCTCCCTGAAAATGTAATCTCAATATCCCATGAGTTATGCATAAAATCAGAGGGAAATGATAAATATGAATAACGCGGATGTAGAAGCTCCTGGTTATAAGCCTGAACTTGACACAAACTGTAAACTTGTCCCTCAAATCAGATTGGTTGACTGGAATGTTGTTGATCAACAAAGATGTTGCACTGTGTGAAATCAGGCTCTGTGTCAGTGTATTAAGACGAGTCTTTATTTCTCACGTCAGCAGAACTGGTAATCACCTGAAATCTATCGATAAAAAGAAAAGCATGAACCGGACTAACCTGCCCTGTGGAGACGTGATGTGATGTGATGCTAATCTCGTGTGTCTACGCATGTGTTTGCTCGCTGCTGGTTCTATAAAGTCTGAAAACTCGGATTCTCATCGACACTCATTCTTCATCTCCGTCATCAGTCATAACCAGTGCTGTCTTTCAGAGCTCGAGTCATCATGGCAACTAAGATGGTGATTCAGCAGCCGAAGCCCTTGGTTTTGGCTCCGGGTTCTGACCAGTGGTCCACCAGCCTCTGCGAATGCGACACACTCCCAGACTGTGAGTGCATTTTCATTGAAATCCCAACGGATAGCTGGACATTTGATTGTCTTTGTCTTTGTGTGGTGCCTGATTTTCCCCATCTTGTTGGGCAGGTTGCTTTGCGTTCTGGTGCTGCCCATGTTTCGCCTGCATCACAGCCCAGGATCACGGAGAGTGTCTCTGCTTGCCCCTGCTGGACAGTTTCGGACTCATCCCACCCATCACTATGGCAATGAGAGTGTCTGTCCGACGCACGTATGGCATCGAGGTAAAGACTTTACTGGGATTCACTGCAAAAAACGCATCAGTTCTGAACTAGTTGCATTCATTTAAGACAGTTGAATTAACTTAAAAAAGTGAGGAAACCCCTTGCTTTAAAATTATTAAGTAGGCTAAATGTTAGATGTGCAAGTGAAAAAATTATGTTATGTGGAATTGTCAAGTTCACATAACTTAATTTTTTCAATTACACATGCAATTCACATTTATATAGCGCTTTTCACAATACACATTTCAAAGCAGCTTTACAGAAAATGCACGAGTCCACATTACAATTTAGAGTGATCTGTTATCAGAGGGAACTGTCTAAGATATGTATTTCAGAAATGTAGCCAACATATACAAAATAATAGTTATGCGAAAAAGGTTCATTTAAACAATGTATAATTGAACGCTGAAAAAAATGAGCTCATTTAAGTAATGAATACATGTTTGTTAAATGATTATGACAGTTTATTTACTTAATAATCTTAAGGCAATGTGTTTCCTTGCTTTTTTTAAGTTAAGTCAACTGATCCCTTTTAACATTGTAGATTATTCTCTGATGTTAGACTGAACTCATGTGTATTTCCCCCCCTCTCTCTCTCTCTCTCTCTCTCTCTCTCTCTCTCTCTCTCTCTCTCTCTCTCTCTCTCTCTCTCTCTCTCTCTCTCTCTCTTTCTCTCAGGACTCTATTTGCAACGACTGTGTGTTGTCCTTCTGCTGCGGGCCATGTTCTTATTGTCAGATAAGACGTGAGCTGAAGTCCCGCAACCGCCCTGTCACCCTCTTAAGCTTCCGAAAATAAAACACTTCATCATCATCAGTCACTGATTCGTAACTTCAACTTTAAAATGAAGTCAGTTCTGACCCTGAGGTGTGGACTTCAGCTAGTCGGCTGAGGAATGATGCCTGAAAAGTCTTCTCTACATGATTCTTTCACTTAATATTCAACAATATTATTGATCTGACTGTAGTGGCACTATTGGATGAGAACTGAACTGGTCTGGATGATGACGTTGATGATCTTTACAACAGAACTGAATCAACACTGAACTGACTTCAGATGAGATGCATCATTTTCCTGTTATCACTGTAAAGCTGCTTTGAAACAATATGTATTGTATGAAGCGCTATATAAATAAAGGTGACTTGACTCTAGGGTACTGATGCTTCATTAGAATTTTATAAATATTTTTAATGTATTATGTCATTGTTCATGTTGAAATAAAAATAATTGTGATTAAAAACTGCACTCTTTTTGTATGTTGTTTTGTTTTAATATACACACACGTTGGGTTTTCATTCATGTAATGTACACTCACCTAAAGGATTATTAGGAACACCTTTTCAATTTCTCATTAATGCAATTATCTAATCAACCAATCACATGGCAGTTGCTTCAATGCATTTAGGGGTGTGGTCCTGGTCAAGACAATCTCCTGAACTCCAAACTGAATGTCAGAATGGGAAAGAAAGGTGATTTAAAGGAGAACTCCGGCGCAAAATGAACCTTTGGTCTAACATTGTTACCTAGTCAACCGTTATCTGAGATTTGTTTTCATGATTATCGAATGTAAATAGTTTTATCTCTAAAAACAGTTTAGCCTATAAAGCTAGTATAACGCTAGTATATTGGGCATAGTGTAATGACAAATAAAAATCGCTTGTTAATACCACTAACAAGGCTCAAAATAGCCCCACACTAACACGGTAGCATAATGAGGGTCCCTACCTTCAAACCGAAGCATTGAGAACTTTGTCAGTGTCCAGACAGTTTAATAAGAAGATATTTTAAACATACAGTCAACTTCGCGTATACAGGCAGAAGCCATCTTTGAAATACAGTCTTTACCAATCGATCTACGAACGCCGATCCAAGCCTGCTGTTCGCGCTTACCTTATCACAACTTATAGCTCGTTCACATTCTCACCAGCGCACTTGGATCGGCGTTCGTAGATCGACTGGTAAAGACTGTATTTCAAAGATGGCTTCTGCCTGTATACGCGAAGTTGACTGTATGTTTAAAATATCTTCTTATTAAACTGTCTGGACACTGACAAAGTTCTCAATGCTTCGGTTTGAAGGTAGGGACCCTCATTATGCTACCGTGTTAGTGTGGGGCTATTTTGAGCCTTGTTAGTGGTATTAACAAGCGATTTTTATTTGTCATTACACTATGCCCAATATACTAGCGTTATACTAGCTTTATAGGCTAAACTGTTTTTAGAGATAAAACTATTTACATTCGATAATCATGAAAACAAATCTCAGATAACGGTTGACTAGGTAACAATGTGCAATTAGACCAAAGGTTCATTTTGCGCCGGAGTTCTCCTTTAAGCAATTTTGAGCGTGGCATGGTTGTTGGTGCGAGACGGGCCGGTCTGAGTATTTCACAATCTGCTCAGTTACTGGGATTTTCACGCACAACCATTTCTAGGGTTTACAAAGAATGGTGTGAAAAGGGAAAAACATCCAGTGTGCGGCAGTCCTGTGGGCGAAAATGCCTTGTTGATGCTAGAGGTCAGAGGAGAATGGGCTGACTGATTCAAGCTGATAGAAGAGCAACGTTGACTGAAATAACCACTCGTTACAACCGAGGTATGCAGCAAAGCATTTGTGAAGCCACAACACGCACAACCTTGAGGCGGATGGGCTACAACAGCAGAAGACCCCACCGGGCACCACTCATCTCCACTACAAATAGGAAAAAGAGGCTACAATTTGCAAGAGCTCACCAAAATTGGACCTTTGAAGACTGGAAAAATGTTGCCTGGTCTGATGAGTCTCGATTTCTGTTGAGACATTCAGATGTTAGAGTCAGAATTTGGCGTAAACAGAATGAGAACATGGATCCATCATGCCTTGTTACCACTGTGCAGGCTGGTGGTGGTGGTGTAATGGTGTGGGGGATGTTTTCTTGGCACACTTTAGGCCCCTTAGTGCCAATTGGGCATCGTTTAAATGCCACGGCCTACCTGAGCATTGTTTCTGACCATGTCCATCCCTTTATGGCCACCATGTACCCATCCTCTGATGGCTACTTCCAGCAGGATAATGCACCTTGTCACAAAGCTCGAATCATTTCAAATTGGTTTCTTGAACATGACAATGAGTTCACTGTACTAAAATGGCCCCCACAGTCACCAGATCTCAACCCAATAGAGCATCTTTGGGATGTGGTGGAACGGGAGCTTCGTGCCCTGGATGTGCAACCCACATTTTAAATTGTAATAATATTACTGTTTTTACAGTAGGCTATTTTAAATGCAGCCTTGAGCAGAAGAGATGTTAAAAAATATTAAATAATAATACCCATTTACTAACAATTTAGTTTAATGCATTAGTTAACAATTATCAATGAAAAATACTTCTAAAGCAAATACAAATCTTAATGTTAACACCAATCAAAAGTTGTATATTATTATATTATTAATGGACCTGAGCAAATATGAACTATCAATTAACAACTGTATTTTATATTAGCTAATGTTAACAGTTATATTAATCCTGCTTATTGATAGATGTTAGTTAAAGCATTATGTTAAATAATGGGAACTTGTTAAGTTACCAAAAACTTTTGACCAGTAGTGTAGGCCAGTGGTTCTCAACTCTGCACATGTATATGTCTTCCTTATTTCAGATCATCCGCTCGTGGATAGAGCTCAGATACGGGAGACATACAAAATGTGCAGAGCGGTGGATCCCCGGGACAGGAGTAGAGAACCACTGGTGGAGGATACAGACTTGCTAACACAAAGTTAGGCCTAAAATTTGACAAGTCAGGTCAGGATTGATTCCAGGAAAAAATAATTTCTGTATCTCTGAGACAAGAACATTCTTCTTTCCCAGATCCACCCTTACCCTTTTAACGTTGCACCCAGTTATGTGAAAATTATTACACATTTAAAACACAAATCTTATGCTTATTGTAAAACAGTTTCAACCCACAATGCAAGTAGAGACATGCGGCGACTGTTCTCCATGATAATAATGCCATCTATGTTCATTGCACAAGTGGAATTCACACTTCAGAGCAAAAAGCTGTAATTGCATAAATAATTATTATATGGCTTCCTACTTTACAAACTGGCTTCCAACACATTAAATCTGCAAGATATAGTCGCTTAAATACAATTCTTAGAAAGCAACTCATTCATAGTCATTACCCATGAAAACCCAAGGAGGGCGTGTGGGGAGACGACACAACAAAGACTTGTTAGTTCACTTTGAATATGTGAAATATGTGAAATATGAGAGAAATTATACATTAGGTTATGTTGATTTTTGATATGCACCCAGCAGGCAGCGTTTAGTAAAAATGTGTGACACATGGTTTCACAACACAATTAGGAGTAGGCTAACGCAATACATTTAAAACATAAACATAAAATACAGTAAATAAAAGGATCATAAAATATGCATTTAAACATACACACTACTACAATCGGATAAAGCTAAGTCGCCAATCAATGGTGTGAAACAAATATTACACAGCTCTGATTTAGCCCTGTGCACCAATGCTGCATATAATTATACAGTGTAAAAAAACAAATCCTCTCATTTTTACAGAAAAATGGCAGTTGTGATATGCTGAGGTTTATATATATATATATATATATATATATATATATATATATATATATATATATATAAGGTGCACAGTGTCATGCACACACATAAAAAACACTATCATGCTAACACACACGACACAAAAATAGTGCTATAAAACACTGATTTAACAACATAAGTTGTAATATTAAACCCTAATATACAAAACTGTAAACTATTATATAATTATTTAAATTAAAAGTCATCAAACAGGAAGTATCAGACAGGTAATTCTGGGAATAGTCTCGCGTAGAGACAATTCCCAGAATTACAGTTCGTTCGACAAACAACCAATTACAGTTTGTTTTGTTCAGCGTCACGTTTCGGGGCGTGGAAATGTCCCCATAACAACAGACCGGCGTGCAACAAGTCAGTCAGCATAGAAAATCAAAGAAGGAGAAAACAACTTCAAGAGTCTATGCCGTGAACCTCGCATAATTTGAGAATCCTACATTTAGCTGATCTTGATAAATGCTCATTGTCACTCATGTAAACACAACAGTTTTTCTTCCGCAATCACACGTCTGCGCTTTGTTTCCCGGCGGACCGAAAATAAACGAGACACTCGCGCCCCCCGGAAATCCGATAAAATTCAACCAATGAGATGTTCCAGTTAAGGGCCAATCCCAATTCTACCCCTTACCCCTTCACTTACCCCTTCCCCTCTGTTTTGCGCGTGCACGTGAAGGGGTAGGGCTGTCTCAATTCTCTTTTGGTTGGAGGGGTAGGGGTAAGGGGAAGGGCCAGATAGCCCTTCAAACGAAGATTTTTCGGGACCACACTTCAAACGAAGGGGTATGAGAAGTGTCACTGCATACACCGGCTACAGACGCAAAATGGCTGCCCACGCAAAAATATTTACATTTTTAACGACAAATAATGATTTCCTTTATGTAACATTCAATCTCGTGTTCATATTTACGGTCAGTTTCTTCAAAGAAATGTTTGTAAAAAAAATACAACTGGTGAATGTAATTGCGGAAGGGAATTGGCTTATATTTTACAGTAGGTACATCTGCCATGAACGCATTGTTTTTTTGTGGTTATATGTGAACACGATATAAACGAACAGTGCTTACAGTTTCGTGCTTTTTGCAATATGATCAGATCAACCAGTCTTGTATGGTCTTTATCAAACAGGGACACCTGAGGAAACCCGGAGGATAATTCGTTTTCGCGTTGGCAACGAGCAACATTTCCTTAAGTCCAAACAAGGCAAAACAACTTTGGGAGTGAATCTGTTAAACGTTACTGTGCTTCACAAGACAAATGCAAAAAAATAGCTGTAACCCATGCAACTGAGA